CCCCAAAACCCCAAAACCCCAAAACCCCAAAACCCCAAAACCCCACATTAAGACTTTTACATTGTTAATCTGGAAATAATAATTTACTACAAATATGGAATCCAAGGAGAAGTACTTGATCAATGGGCTGAAGCCACGTAACACCTTTAGTATGGAGATACTGAGGAATGCAGTAGGCTCAAAGGCTTTGGAGAAGATGAAGAGGTCTATCACCGCTACTAAGATCGGGAGAATCTCTTCCACCTCCACCCAATCAAGGATGAGGGAGATTCGGAAGACTAAAACAGTAGAAAATATAGCAAAAGTGACTAGTTTCAACTGAATTGATGTTGACAAGGATGTTATTGAAGAGATTAAGGAAGTAGATGAGGAAGAAGACATCCCTATTGAGAATTATCTTATAGGCAGCGATGCTAGTGACACTGACTCTGATGAAGAAGATGATGGCAATGCTAATAAGACACTAGGCGTTGGAGGAGAAGAGCTTATTCAAAAAGACCCACAAGCTCTTGTTGATCAGGAACTCACTACTCTTTTGAAGCAGTGCAAGGAGTTCCCAGAACCTACTGAGGAAATGATTGCTTCAAAGGCTATAGAGTTTGGGGATAGGAAAAGGGATAAGACTCTTATCCTTGATATGGATGAGACTTTAATTCATGCAGAAATTCTTCCAGAAAGCGCCAAGCCTATTAAGGATGTTGACTTCACCATTACCCTTAAGAATGTTAATGAAGTGACAAAGAAGGAAGAAACCTACATAGTGTATGTCAAGATTCGTCCATTTTATGATGAGTGTATGGAAAATCTCGCAAATTATTATGAATTAGTTGTTTTCACTGCAGCTGAGCAAGATTATGCAGATGCCATCCTTGATATTCTAGATACTGAGAATCTTATCAGCCACAGATTATACAGACAACACTGCATAAATATCGAGGATAAATACTTTGTGAAAGATTTAAGAATTGTACAGGATAGAGACCTCACAAATATGGTTTTGGTTGATAATTCCATCATCAGTATGGCTTTCAACATTGACAACGGAATTCCAGTGTCTCCATTCTTCAGATGGACTAAGAACGATGAAGAATTTCTCTTCTTGCACTCATACCTTGATGAGTTGTTCCATACTGAAGACATCAGGGATCACAATAGAGAGAAGTTTAAACTACAAGAAATTCAAGATGGAAAAATCTCTTTATAAATAAATAGCTGTAAGATCCACTCAATAATTATTATGAACAAAGGGGTTTTGGGGTTTTGGGGTTTTGGGGTTTTGGGGTTTTGGGGTTTTGGGG